CGAAAATAGCACACAATGAGCACAATAATACGGACAAATTTTTTCTTAATTTTTTCATTTTAGCGCCGCTAACTTGATTGAGCTTTGAGATCAATAAGAAACAAGGCAGATTAGTAAGAGATGCGACCGAAACAACAGCAGTGAGCCCTGCGCTCTTCTTTGCGATAAGTCAGCACACTATTAAAAAAGAAAGCACGAGAGAGACGAAAAAGAAGGAGTAAAACCACTAGGTCAATGTATTGGGGCTTGATCCTATAAAGGACGCTGTCTCGAAAAGCCACTATTCGAACGAGGCAAATATTCGAACGACTTGGCTATGGAGACACTATCGCAGCTACTTCTGCAGTGCGATGTCGTCTCAAGAAGACGCGAGAAATTTGTTTGCCCCTTATGGTCATAGCGAAAGTACATACATATGTACTTATACTTTTTAACCACAAGCGATCTTCTGAATGCCTAAAGGAGGAGAGGGTTGAATAGATCTTTAGGTAGCAGTGCATCCCTCATACTACGCGGTTATCTATTCTCTGCATCTAATGTTATCTAAACTTTTAAACAATTTTCTGTTCGACTGAATTTTGCACTTATTGAAAAATATGATGAAATTTGAATTATTAACTTCCTTAATATCCTGGTTCTCCAGGAATTTGTTGTGAATTATTGTTTTTTTTTTGTAAGAAATATTACTCAGCATTTACTTTATTCACCTCACGCTCCTTCTTTCTTTCTCTCGCATTTACTAAAATGGGTATTGACGAAATATCTACAGTCAGCGTCAAAAATATGCATACAAGGGTGGGTATTTTTTTTTGACTATGCGCGTAATTCAAAGGAGGATTCTACGCAAATTTACCGAAAAACCATGGGTCTCAAATCAATTTAGAGTTCGCCAAATTGGCAAAGTTGGTTTCGAAAAAAATGTGAAAATGATTAATGTTGCACCCTCTGGTGGGAGTTTTAAGAAAATGATAAGTGCAGAAATGCATTCCTCATACCAAAAAACGCCTTATAGCATGTTGTTATATAAAATTCAAGCACTTCTTTACGGCACTACAGCAAAATGCTAAGAAACCTATTTTTGCACTTTGCCAAACTACAAATTGATTTTTGACTCATGGTTACTTCGGCAAATTTACGTAGGGTCCCACTTGTGCAAAACGCGCATAGTTGAAAACATCTCCCAGATAAATTTACCCACCCTAATGCGTACGTAATTCATTTATGGTGATTTCGTTTCTCCAAAAAATGTTGCCTTCTCATCCCCCTCTTCTTAGTGTCTGTGCGTAGAGAGCAAAGAGAAGGTTGCATTTTTCGGTAGAAACGAAATTGGCATTAGATTTCCCACACCAATTTTTATTTTATTTTTTAACCGAATACAAAAAAAGGGGAAAAGTTATCAATTCGTCGGAATATTTTTTCTTTAGTTCTTTTTTAGGTACGTTACCGCGTAACTTTGTACCACGTTAACCGATTTCTATAATTTTTTTTTAAAGGAAAGGTGTTACCTCACAGGTGAGAGATAAAATCAATACACCAAAAGTCAGCAATCGGTTTGATAAAACCGATAAATTGACACAGACAATTTGGACCACGTTAACCAATTTCTAAAATTCTTTTTTTTTAAGGAAAGTTGGTACCTCAGAGGAGGTCCCATATTGATTTTTGATCTGATCATTGGATCGAAGAAACTAACGGTACTCATAAATTTTTATATGAGTATTGGTTTCGTTTTTTGATTAAAAACTACTTGTATGTTTAAAAATGACTTCCTTTAATTAATTTTTTTCTTTTTTAATTTGATTCTCTTTGAATTTTTAAATTTTATTGTTTTAAAAGAATTTTTTTTTAATTGTGTTAAATTTTTGGGAACTTACATTATTGTTCTTTTTTCAGTATTTTTTTTCTAGTTTTATTATCTTGTAATTTTTATATTTTATTGTTTAAAAGGATTAGTTTCATTAAATTTTTAAAAACTTTTTTTGTTTATTCCTTTTTCGTTAATTTAGTTTGGTTTCCCTTTCATTTTCTTTTAAATTGTATGCTGTATTGTTTTAAAAAGAAAAATGTTTTGGTTTTATTTCATTTACTATTTAGGATCTTATTTTATTTTATGTTTTTTTTTTAATATAGTTTTCTTTTAGTTTTTAGGTTTTGCTTAAAATATAAAAATATTTCTTTTTATTTGATTTAGTTTTCAAGTGCTATTTTCTTCTTTTTGGATTAAATTTTCTCTTTTTATAATTTAATTAATTTTTTAATTTTAGATCTCATTGTTTAAAAATAAAATTAAACTTTTTTAATTTCATTTAATTTTTCAAAATAATTTTATTTTCCTTTCCTTTATTTTATTTTCTTTTTCTTTTTTTTATAAATTACTGTTGCACTACAAACAATTTCTTAATCTTGCTGTGCCAATGCATTAATTAATAAAAGTAATGAAATGAAATGCAAATGTGCGTAATTACCTTGCCTTTAAATAAGGGTATGGGATGGATTAAACAATAATAATTTTTCGCAATAAAAAATAGCATTTTTTAATTAACTATTTTTTTTATTAATTATACACCGTTTGATTTTTTTTTTGAAACGTAAATAGTTGTCAAACATTATGTAGTACACTGTAGAAATTTGAGAATGGAAGGGCCAAAACTGTGTGTGAAGTTATGCCTGCGTACATAAAGTTTCAGCGCACAGGCATGCCCTGCCAGTGCTATGCAGGCAATGTCAAATCCCCGAGTGTATTTCTGCAATGAAAAACAGCTTTTCATAAAAATACAATCGCCGTTCGGAGTCAGCGTAAAACTGTAGGTCCCTCCGCTTTGTGTGACAACATCAAGGCGCACGCCACAAATCGGCCAAACACTGACATATGTGTAAGCGCCAATCTATGTTATTATTATTATTATTATCGAGATTTGACCTTGGGACTTATGTACCCACTACAACAATAACAACAACACAATTCATTTATTACCCTCGGCTATCTCAAACTCCAAAAAAATTAGTAACAATCAAGTTTCAGTTATGAAGAAAGTCTCTTCAAATATCATTATTTCATTTGAATACTAATTTCTATAACTTTATTTATGAGCCACATACTAATTTTTTACTGGCAAGATAAGTACTTTATTGGAGTTGTTAAATTTTATTTACAAAAAATAATTTACGACCTAATTAATGCAAAAGTAGGTTGTTTTTGTTTTCAAATGCGAGTAATGTATAAATCAAAATACATAAAGAAAATATATATCACATGAAATTGCAGAAAAATCAATAACATCACTAGCACTAACTTTTACATGCACTTAAATAAATGAAAAAAAAAGACAGACGTACGTACATAAATATGAATGCGTAAAAGAAAGAGAAAATTTTGAATAATTTACTCACGCACTGCAAACGAATAATTGTTTTTTTTTTTGCTGCTTTGGTACAACGAAGTGAACTTAGAAACGGTGCCATAAACAAAACATAAACAAACAGAATGGGTGGCATCAATTTGCTAAGCTACACACAAACTAAGAGACGGTCCTAGTAATATGCAACGTTCAAGTATTCGCACAAGCAATTTTTCAATAGCGTCTGCATGCGTATTAGTATCGCAAACAGCCAGTCAAACGGAACTTTAGTGCAAGCTGGTTGAATTCTAACAACAAAGCTAAAGTGACATCATTTGCCAAGAGCAGGAAGATAAATAAATATGTTCGTAACGCAGCACATACATATACAACTACCTTTATTTATGATTGCATGTGTTAGTTTAATTATGATTGCATGTGTTAGTTTAGTTATGATTGATTAATTACCCTGCAGTAAATCGCTCTAGTTCAGAACTAGCGCAGAACTAGCTCTTAAAGAGGCGGTACTGGTTCTCGATCTATCCCAACGCAATGCTTTCAACTGTCTCTTTTTAATATGTGCAGCAAAACTCAGCGGATGTTGGCTTCACTCGAACAAGAAGGTATTTGTGATTTGTGTAACAAAAATACATATGTATGTATAGTTAGATATAAAGATTTGTATGTATGAGTCAAGTAGACAATGTGCAAAGCGTACCACTGTAAAGCGTGGAAAAATGGGAAATGATTATTAACGAAACGAACCAAAAGATTAAGGAAGTAGTAATTTGTTGTGCTGAAAAATTGCGCTAGACACAATGGACACACAAGTGTATATATGTACATATGTAAGTGGCTTGCGGGGAACGAAGTGAAAGAATGATAAATCTCAGCGATTATTTAAACGCTAACCAAGCAGATTAGAAGCAAGCAAAAAGCGAGTGAAACAATCACACATTGCAAACAAAAACAAAAGAATACAGACACAAAAAAGCTGTGGGAGTAGGAAAGAGTGTCACTAACGGAAATGACTGCTCTGGAAGATGTGTAAACAATAGTGTCAGTTGAAAAAAAAAACAACAACAACAACCGGGGTAGCAGTCATATAGCGTCTGTATATGGAAACCAATGTACAGATTAAATTATTAAATGGTAAGTATTTGAAGTTATTAGAAATATGTCAGAGTAAGTTAGGGTGGTTCTTAATATGGTTTATAAATATTTAAATTGAAAAGAATACCAAGAAGCTTATGTAAAAGGAGAGTTAATTAGTATGGCCTTGTTGAACTCAAAACGCATTTTTTTCACTTATATTTGGAAAGTTTTTGTTTAGATTAATGGTATTTTTTGTGCTTTTAGGTTAAAAAATTAAATATTTTCAAAACTCTGGTAGCGGCCCTAAAATTGTTTAAAATTTTTGAAATTCTCGTGGACGTCTTTATTTTGTACGTCGAACAAAGTACATGGGTGCCTCATACAAAAGTTTGATTTGATTTTGGGGAGCAAAATGGTTCGTTTTTTTAATATCAACATGTTTTTCATATTTAAACTTTTTGGTTGATGTTTGATTTAAATATTTTCCATGCTATAGCTAAAACAGCAAAAAAATAAAATATTGAAAAATGCTTCAAATTTTCTAACTTTTTGATATCAATTTGTAAAAAACTTCTCAGTAAGAAAGTTTTATAACCCATGAAATTTTTCATAATAGGGTGCAAGTTTAAAGATTCTAACAAAATGCTTTAAGAAATAAAAGTGCTTTAGAGAGTAAAATATGTATATATATCGGGACCCAACCGCCAAAACAACCTAAGCGACATTTTTTTTTAATATTTCTTTGATGCTGAATTGCATCTAGATGCTCTACGGGCATTTCTGCATCAAAAAGAAAAATTTTGAAAAATATGTCGCTTACGTTTTTTGGCGGTTAGGGCTCGATATAGAAATAAAAATCAACGCGATTTTCTAGAGTCTTCAAACTTACACTTTATTATGCTAAATTTTGATAGGCTATACGACTGCAGAAGTGTTTTACAAATACATATCAAAAAGTTAGTAAATTTGATGCAAATGGGAAAAACTTTCTTATTTTATTCTTTGGTTTAAAACTTTGTTAAAATCTGTTTTAGCCATAGCATGGCCAATATTTTAATCGAACATGAAGGAATATGTTTTAATATGAAAAACATGTTAATACTAAGAAAAATACCATTTTGGCATTTTTTCTCCCCACTGTATATTACACTTAAATTTTTTTGAGCAATCGAGTCCTTTAGTACGAGTCCATAGGCAATCACTTTTTTTTTGATAATTAAGGTGTAGAGGAACATGGTCTACATTCAGAAGCAAAAATATTTGTAGTAGAGACAATGCTTATTATGAAGAGAACCGATAGCTTTATTAAAAGTTTTTAAACGAAGTGAAGTTGAACGATAATACCAAAAGGAGCTTCAGGCAGGCGCCTTGCGATACCTCCATTTTGAGTAATTCACTTTTTGAAGCGTCTTTCACATTCCGAAAAGATACATTTGAATCAGTTTCATTAGAATATCTAGAACTTTTAGCTCCGTACAAATTGGAACAAACCCCTGCACGTTATTCGAGATTAAATGAAATTTTAATCCAGGTGATTCAGTTTCGTACGATTTCTTCAATCTGATGTTGGAAAGCGTAATACGAGTTGTCAACCTAAATAAATCGCAGTTGTAGCATACTTACAGTGGCGAACATATAAATAGGGATGCGACATTTTAAATTTTTTTGATCATTTACCTTTTACTTTATTTTGTATTTATTATTATTTTATGGAAGTATACCTCAATAGATACTAAAAGCCAACTTCGAATTTCCATCTCCTTCAATTTTGTTAAAATTTTGCAATGTTTAATTTTGAAAAAATTATATGTTAAGGACTAATGTAAACTCGACACATCCTCGAATTTCGTCTCTTTAACTTTATAAGCTTTAAAAAATAAAATTTATTAAAATAGCTTTTTCAATACCTGTTCATCCTCGTAAACCAAAATATTTGAATTTGTTTAAATTCGACAGAATTGTGTCTTAGATTTGGTACGCATATCGTTATTATACATTGCACTGAATAACATAGTTCTTTTTAAACAAATTCTGACTCCAGAGAGAAAAACTAAAACCGCAGTTTTACTATATTTATTTGGCCCATTGTTTCGTGTGTATATTGATTTCTTCATTTGTTTGGAATTTGTTTTGTTTTTGTCGCCCGGTGTTAAGTGAAAGTTAATTGTTCCCACTCCACTACGTAAAAATGTGTGGTTATTGAACTCAACTACCTTAATTATTACCATCCCTCAACATATGTACATATGTATATACCCAGCAAAAACTTTGATTCTTTGGAAAGCGTTTACTTTTTGTATTGATGATTACTATACGCCCCAAAACAAATTTTTTCACTTTCTCGTTTACCCACTGCATTTTTAAAATTTGTCGCTTACCTCCAATGACATGTCCATGTTAAAGTAATGCGTTCTGTAAACTAGAAGGTGAGTGGTGTATCTCGATTGGTAAGCATTTTACGAAAGTAATTCACCACATACATTCTAGTTAACAGAACACATTACTTTAACCTGGGCATGTCATTAGCGATAAGCGAGAAATTTTAAAAATTTAAAAAACAGGTAATGCAGCGGGTAAACGGGCAAGATTTTGTCTTAAGGCGTACTGTAATGCGTTACTTAATCGATACAAAAAGTAAGCGCTTACTAAAAAAATAAAAGTTTTTGCTGGGTGTATACATATTTACGATACACATGGGAAATCACATATTGTTCCACACCCATTGAAAAATACCACCTACTTTTATCTACTCGTCCACCCAAATTGACCACCGCCCTTTTGTTGTTGCTCTTGCTAGACATAACATTAATACATATTTATGTATGTATGTACGTATGCAGCTGTGTTTGTACGTGAGTCCATTAAAAAGGTTAAGTTCAGGGCGCTCCCTTTTAATTTAACGTTTATCTGTGTTTCAACAATTACAATTCATTCTTATTTTTTCACTTCATACTTCCACTTACATATTTTCATTACTCCTCGACAATTGATTTCACTTCGATTGCTTTTTGTCTGCCATAAGACGACGCATTCGAAATCAGGTGCTCAGACAGCCAACAATTTTTGAATTATTCACAGCCACGTGTTCACTTTCAGTCATTCGCACCCATTAACCTTTTTCTAATGTACGATTGCCCTGTAGGGAAACCCCGAACTGGTGAACCAAATTTGTAGTTCCGTACTAGATTTTTATCGGCAAAAACGAACCAGTCCGATAGTAACTAGATCGCCACCAGTTCAAAAGCAGCGATATGTGGTACTTTTAAAAAACAATTTTAGAAATCTGTATCTAAATTGACGAATTTAGAACTGGTTCAAAACTATAGAAAAAGGGATGCAGGACGAACTAGATCTAATCTGGCGAATTTTGAACTAACTCGAAACTACTGAAAAAGGGATGCAGCGGGGGCTTGTTTACTTTAAATAGATTTTTGCTTGGCGGGTTTTTCGTTCAACTACGCTTTCAGTCTGCACGTCGCAGATGCTTTTTCATAGTTTGGTAATACAAAACTAAAATTTGTGTTAACATCTTAACATTTTGGGAGCTTCTGGAATATAATCAATAACAGTCAGCACCTCTGCAAATTCAGCTACAGCCAAAGGTATGTAAACGTGTTTTAAAATGCAAAATTTAATTTACATTCATTCAAACAAATTTGATTTCAGATTGAAAATACATTTCTCTGCAAATAATTAAAAATTGCTACCATGGTAACCCAAAAAGAAAACATCTTGTTACTTTTTTCGTTTACAACTGGTTCGAAACTATAGAAAATGGGGTGCAAAGCGAACTAGATCCCATATGTCGAATTTAGGGCTGATTCGGAACTATAGAAAAGGTAATGCAGCGGGGGACAATTTCCAATTCCTATGACATCGCCGTGTTAAATTCGCCAGTTGTTTGCATGCAAAAGAGATTTATCGCGAACTAGTAGTGGTTCTAAATGAAGCGCACCAGTTCAAAACTAGACATTTTCCCTGCAGGGTATGTACGAGTGAGTGTGCATACGTGTGTAAATGTGTGTGTCTAGGAAACTTTTTCCGTCTGCTGTTGAAGTTGCATTTAAAAACATTTAATTACTTATTACATATCGTAAATATGTTGTATATATATACATACATATATACTATAACAATTCTCTGTTACTGACATTTAGTTTTAGTGTTCGCACTTTGATCTCACACTGTATCGCCATCTCGCTCTATCTCCCGCCTGTCCACTCGCTCTATTAATTCCTTTGGCATATTCCTAATGAGCCTGACCGCATGTGACACGCACTTTCCTAAAAATCCATGTACGTTTTTACTTTGCAAAGGCAGGTTATTTTGTGTATAAACTTCAAACTATGTCTACATTAGTCTGTGTTTGCTTATGTAGGTTAACAATCTCTTTGTGTGCTCTACTAAAGTGTTTATGTGAGTCGTATGAAAAAATGAGTTTATGAACCTGGCCGAAAGGAGGTTAACATTTTTCATATTCCATATTCCGTTTCCTTTTTTAGAAATTTCTCTTTTGTAATTTTCACCATTCATTGGTCTCATCTTTCAACAGCTTGTCGACCTGCTCCACTTTCGTGCCACTCACATATCAATCCACATTGAATGCTCGCAGCAGTTGTCGAGCACATTGCAGGACACTTTCAGACAACTTTTTTGTCACTTTGCATTTTACATATACTATTTTTGCTTGCAACGCATTTAGTGCATGATGAGTTTTTGTTTGTACTTATTGGAAAATGTACTATGTATGTAATATCACAGTGAAATCAAACATACTTTGTACTAAAATAATATCATAATACTCTATGAGTCATTTAACACAACATAAAAGCAAAGATCCTAAGGACTGAGACTGGGTAATTTGCCCTTATCTATGTATGAGTGTGTATACATTAGGGTGTACATTAAAAATAGGGGTCTACGTAAAAAATTAAGATATCCACAAGAGTTTCAAAATTAAAACAATAAAATCATAGTTTAAAAAACTAAAACCTCCCTATTATAATTGATTCGTACTGTCATCAGGTATGTAACTTGAGTATAAAAATCGCTGCATC